TTTTTTTGTCCTAAAATTTTAGTGTAGGTTGCTAACATACTCTCACTAAAAAATAGGTAAAAATTTATTAGCATTCCCTATATATATATATATATATATATATATATATATATTAAGTTAATGTGACTTAGAAATTAGCATATACCTGAGCTGCAGTCTTGCCATGAGCATCTGCCAATTCTTTGAGTACATCATTGTCCATCACCAAATTAGCACCCTTCCTCAGGGGTGAGAAGGCAGTTACTGTAATACCCTTTGCCTTTCAGAAATCTCTAAGTATGTGTTGTTGCCAACCAAGGTTAACTTCTATCTGTTAATTAGGATTAAGGTTTAATTCAATCAATGATTTAGAATATATTTAAGCTTCTTGATGGAGAAGTTGCTGACTCCAATGACTTTGGTGAGGCCAAGTCTTTGGTATTCCTCCATGGATCCCCACACACCCTTCATGTCAAATTCCACTATCTCTGATACTTCAATGGGGTACACAACTTTTCCTGGCTTAGTAGCCAAGGGCCAGTGTATCAGAAAGAGATCCAAGTATTCTAGTACCACCATATTTTGGATTAAGAACAAAATTTAGATAAAGTTAAATAAGTGTTGTTCTCTAGAAAAGTTATTTCAATAATTTGCGTAACGAAAAGTTGATTAAATATTAATGCATATTATTGAAATGAAAAGTTGATTATCAGTGACCCATAATTTGGAAGTGATGAAGAGATCATCCCCAGATGCAATTAGGCCAAGTCTAAGTGCTTCTGCTATGGCTTCTCCTACAGATTGCTCGCACCATAGACAGCAGCAGTATCAACATGTCTGTCTGTGACCTTGTTTGATGGCCTCAAGGACTGCATCCTTTGTACTAACTATACTGGTTGCCTCCGGCGCAGTGCCGAGGCCAACCACTGGCATTTTCCGCCGTGAGGAGGAGGAGCTGAGAGATACCTAAGGGACTTGGGTGGCACTCATTTTGCCTTAGGAGATTGGATAATAATGCTAAATTGGGCGTAAATTACTTTGTTGATTATGTTAATGTTAACTAGAGGGAGGTCGTAGTTCCTTTTATACTAAAATTTTTGTTTAATTGCACTTTTGGTCCTCCTAATTTAGTGTAGGAGTAATTTTAGTCCTCATAATTTGAATTGCTTAATTTTAGTATATAAATTTTAATAATGGACAATTTTAGTCCCACAAATAATTTACCATCCAAAATTTAACAGACGTTAATGATGTGAATCTTATGCTAAATAAACATTAATTATATATCATTTAATTTTTTACGTGTCAAATTATTTAATATTCAAATTTTAAAATTTTTTAATTCAAATAATATTGAAAACAAAATGAAAAGGATATTGATATCAATCGTAGTGAGAATTTTTCACTAAAATAGAATTTTTAATTTTTTTTTTTACTTTTTGGATCTGAGCATGATGTAAATCTAGATCCAAAACGACCCGTTCTTCTTTCAGAACGGCCCGTTCTCCATGCAGCACTTGCAGAACGGCTCGTTCTCCTTTTAGAATGGTCCATTCTGGATGCAAAAGTACACACATGACGAATGGATCAAAACGGGTTGTTCTGCTTGGACGTTCCAGTTTCAAAATTAACAGACTACGCGTGCAAGCAGAATGGCCCGTTCTACTTGGAGAACGGGTCGTTCCAATTGCAACATTAACACACAACTTGAACTATAAATAGAAAAGAAAAAAAAATTTAAACACTACTCAAAATTCGGTTCCCCGGGAACCGAATTCTGAGCCCGAGAACCGAATTCTGAGTGTGAACAGTAAAAGATGCTACTTCTGTAAATAAATTGGAATAGGTACTGTTTTGGTAAAAAAAAATTAAAAAAATTTTATTTCAGTAAAAAATTCTCGCAATAATTGTTGGAAAGAGATGATACTGGTGGCGATCGTGGCGAGGTGCTGGAGGAGTACACGGTGTTGTTGGCGAGGGTGCTGGTGAAGAAATAAAAGGAAGGGTACGGAGGGTGCTAGTAAAGAAACAAAGAGAAGGGTACGGAGGATGAGAAAACGAATTTAAATTTAAAATTTTTAAAATTTGAATATTATAATTTGACACGTAAGAAATTAAATAATATATAATTAATGTTTATTTAGCATAAAATCCATATCATTAATGTCTGTTGAATTTTGGATGATAAATTGTTTGTAGGACTAAAATTGCCCATTATTTAAATTTATGGACTAAAATTAAGCAATTCAAATTATGAGGACCAAAATTGTTCATACACTAAATTAGGAAGACCAAAAATATAATTAAGCCTAATTTTTTTTTAAATCACGTGTTCTATGATGCTAACTTTGAACTTGTCGTTGTCATGAAATGAGCTATGCAATTTTATTTTAATATTTTATGGTGTCAAACAAAGTTCTAATGTGAATTTGGAAAAATGTAACTAAAAAGATATTTAAAGTTGATAAATTAGGTTATTATTATTTAATCATAAATTAGTTTGTTTAGTGTCGATTTTTATAATAATTAGATTTAGATATGTTTTTCTCTAATTTATTTTTTATTTTAATTTTTATAGTTTAAAATATTTTTTTTTAATTTTTGTACATATATTTTCTCTTTAGTCTATGTTATTTATTTTTTTATTAATATTGTTGTTGTGAAGATGAGACAAAAATTATTTTGACAGATTTTTTTTATTTAATTATACCTTTTTAATCTTTGTAGTTTCATTTAAATTTCCTTTTAGTCTTACAGTTTTAATTTCTTTTTAGACTATATAGTTTAAAATATCATCTTTTAGTCGCTACACATAGTTTCTTCTTCTTCTTTTTTTTTTTCTTTTTTAGTCACTGTCATTTATTTTTTATTAATTATTTGTGTTGTGATAACGTGACAAATATTACTTTAAAATGACATATTCAATGTGATTTTTTTACTTGTTAAACTAATTTTTATTCTCTATAATTAAAAAACAAATTGTCTTTATTTTTAAATCTTTTTTAACCTTTTTTAATTTTGTTGTTAATTTTTTTTTAACATTATTTTTGTGTAAATGACACGGAATTATTATATCTACGAGGTGGCGATGCATTAATTAGTTTTGTGGATAATGATTTGTCACTTGATGATTTAGGAAAAGAGAAATGAAGAATTTGAATGGTGTCGTGAAGAGTCTGTAACACACTTACTTTTATTTGTTACAATTTATTGATAGAATGTTGGTCTCATCAAAATTTGTATTTTTTAATTAATTTTAACTAATTAGAAAATGTGTTTTAAAAAAACTATGCTACTAGCATTTTTCTAAACTTGTACTTGTGAATTACAAGAAATAACTTTTATTATTCAAATATTATTTTAACATTGTTGAAATCAATACAGAGAATTATCAAGTCCATGTATTCTTTTCGTTTTTTATTCATAGTCGTTTTGATATTATTTTTTTGTTTTTTTTCATTGTCACTTTTCTAAAATCAATGACTTATTAATTTTTTTTTTCATTTTTATCATTGATAATTAATGTGTGTTTACTGAACAATGTGTTTATTCATTTTTTAATGTACCTATTTTTCTTCTCCAATCACCTATAATAGGAAAATAAGTAATAAATACTTTGAAAAACTAAAATATTAATTATTTTCCTAATTATTGTGCATAACTTTAAACGTGAAACAAAAAAAAAAAGCGGAGTGAGTACATCATCAAGACATATATATAAAGGAGACTTGAATATTAAATTTAATAAATTTAATTGTATTCAATGGTGAATTAAAGTTCTCATATTAATGTTATTTATTATGCTTGTAAAACACTTCCTTTTATATTTATTTATCGTTTTAAAAAACTCACGTTATAGTAGCACCGGTATAAAATTTTGTGTGTATATATATATATATATAGTCTAAAAGTAAAAAACTTTTAATCTAACAGTTAGATTTACAAAATTTACATTTAATATAAAGCTATTGAATAATATAATACTTGATAAAAGTTAGACACCTCTCTTTTTCTTTTCTATTGTAATTTTTGGATTATTTTATAATGATTTTTTAACTTTTCATTTTTCATATAAATATATATATATAAATAAATAGATGGACTAGAAACGACATTTCTTATCTCAATGACAACAAATATAGGTATATTAAATGAATGGAATTAGTATATAGATGTAATATAATGAAATAAAGCCACTTTGAGGTTCCCTATGAAATGGGGCATGGAATGGAGCCATTGCAAATAAGTTTTACAAGTTACGAAAGAAACTTCGAGCTCATATTAGTCATACCGGTATTATTATAACCTTTCTCAAACCTTAATTATATGATTATTGATACATATAATTTTGTGTATAGTCCAAGTACAGTTACACGTGTTATAAAGATAAAATAGTCATCTAAAAAGAATTTGCACAAAATTACATAGCTCGAACCCATTTTTTTTTCTAAATTTTTTACCCTTATAAAATTTAAACGATCTATTTATTATAAAATATTTTATTAATATTTAATAAATTGAATTACATAAATTAAACACAAATATATTTTCATAGAAAATTAAAAGTATCATGAAAAATGCATATAATAGTGAAATGATAATTATTTTAATTATTTTTAACATGAATGTACATTCAAATTCAAATTTTAATTGATTTATCTATATTTATATATTATTGAAGGTAAAATAACCTTTTAAAAAAATTCCATCAAAACAACACAGTTCAGACCCATCTTTTTAAAAAAAAATTCTACCCTTTTAAAATTCAAAGATTTTTTATTAATTTTAAAATAAATTTGTTGAAATGTATAAAATTGTGAGAAAAAATCATTGAATAGGGTGTTGGTCTCATCACATTTTTTATTTTCTAATAAATTTTAACTAATTAGAAAATGTATTTTAAAACTTGTGTTACTTCCCTTAAAAAAAAGTGTACTAGCATTTTTCTTAATTTATACTCATGAATTGTAAGATATAATTTTTATTGATCAAACATTATTTTAATATTGTTAAAGTCAATACAAGGAATTAGGTGAAGTCCATATATATCACCAAGACATATATAAAAGACACTTGAATATTAAATTTAATTGTATTCAATGACAAATTAAAATCCTCACATTAATGTTATTTATTATATTTATAAAATATTTTTTTATATATTTATTTTTCGTTTATAAAAAATTCACTAATTTTATAAAGACAAAAAATATATTTAAAATTTAATTATATTATTAGTGACATATATAAATCTGTATATATACGAACCACTAAGGTTACTTAGGTGTTGGGATAGTTAATTAAAAACTACTAGTATATATTCACTTATTTAGCCTAATAGTTGGGTAGGCAGAGATTAAAGTAATTATAAACATATACTTAAGTTTAATCTTCATTGCGGGTATTTTTATAATTTTTCTTATCTTTATAAATAAAAGACAGTTACAAGTTATTTAAAAAACATTTTGTACAAAATTTCATAACTTGAACCCATTTTTTTACCCCTTATAAAATTCAAACGATCTAATTATTATAAAATCAATTATTAGTATTTAATAAATTGAATTACATCAATTAAACACATATATTTTCATAGAAAATTAAAAATATAATGAAAAATGCATATAATAGTAAAATGATAATTATTTTAATTATTTTTAATATAAATATATATAGTAAAATTCTAATTTTTAATTGATTTATATTTATATATTATTAAATGTAGAATAACCTTTTAAAAAAAATTCTCTATCAAAACAACACAGCTCAGACCCATTTTTTCTAAATGTTTTTACCCTTTTAAAGTTTAAATATTTTCTATTAATTTTAAAATAAATTTATTACTATTTAATAAATTGAATTACATCAAATAAACACAAATAATTTATCATTAAAATTTTGAAATATCAAAATTACATATAATAATAAAATGATAGTTATTTTTAATTTTTCTAATATAAGTGCTTATTCAAATTCGACTTTAAAATCAATTTATCCACATCTATATATATCTATATATTATTAAATGTAAAATAGTCTTTTACAAAACAAATTTCCATTCAAAACTATATAGTTTAGACCCATTTTGTTTTCAAGAATTTTTTATTCTTTTAAAATTCAAATTGTTATTGTAAAATAAATTTATTATCATTTAATAAATTAAATTACGTCAATTAAAAATAAATAAATTTTCATTTAAATTTGAAATATCATAAAAAAAATACATATAGTAATGAAATAATGGTTATTTAAAATTTTAAAATATAACTCTATATTCAAATTTAAATTTAGAATCGATTCTTTTATAATTGTATCTATATATTTTTAAAGGTATAATAATCATCTAAACTTTTTTTCACACTCAAAACTATACAACTCAAACCTTTTTTTTTTCTAAGTTTTTTTATTCTTTTAAAATTCAAACATTTTCTATTAGTTTTAAAATAAATTTGTTAAAAACTATAAATTTGTGAGAGAAAATCATTTAATAGGGTGTTAGTCTCATCAAATTTTGTATTCTCTAATAAATTTCAACTAATTATAAAGTGTGTGTTTTAAAAAATGTGTTACTAACCTTTTTCTTTACTTTTGAATTGAAGACATAATTTTTGCCAATCAAAAAATATTTTAACATTGTTAAAATCAATATAGGAAATTAGGTCAAGTCCATATCAAGACATATATAAAGGAGATTTGAATATTAAATTTAATAAATTTAATTGTATTCGATGAAAAATTAAATTACTCAAATTAATGTTATTTATTATGTTTATAAAACACTTTTTTTACATTTATTTCGCGTTTAGGAAAAACTCAATTAAAAATATATTTAAAATTTAACTATATTATTATTCACGCACATTATTTCATGTATAGTATAGGTACAATTACAAGTGTTATAAAAGATAAAATAGTCATCTAAAAAAATTGTGCAAAATTACATAGCTTGAAACCATTTTTTTTTCTAAATAAACACGGGTACTTTTTTGTTAGAAAATTTGAAATATCATAAGAAATTTCATATAATAGTAAAATGATGGTTATTTTAATTTTCTAATATAAATGTATATTTAAATTCAATTTTAGAATCAATTTATCTATATCTATATATTATTAAATGTAGAATAGTCTTCTAAAAAACAAATTTCCATTCAAAATTACATAGTTCAAATCTATTTTTTTAAAGAATTTTTTACCCTTTTAAAATTCAAATGTTTTCTATTTATTGTAAAATAAATTTTATTAGCATTTAACATATTGAATCACGTCAATTAAAAATAAATAATTTTTTATTAAAAAAATTGAAATATCATAAAAAATACATATAATAATGAAATAATGGTTATTTTAATTTTTAAAATATAATTATACATTCAAATTCAAATTTAGAATTAATTCATCTATACTTATATTTATATATTATTATAATGGTCATCTAAAAAGTTTTCTCGCTCAAGACTACACAGCTCAAACCCTATTTTTTTCTAAGATTTTTTATCCTCTTAAAATTCAAAGATTTTTTATTAATTTTAAAATAAAATTGTGAGAAAGAATCATTAAATAGGGTGTTGGTCTCATCAAATTTTGTATTTTTTAATAAATTTCAACTAATTATAAAATTGTATTTTTTATATAAAAAAAAACTATGTTACTAGCATTTTTCTTAATTTACACTTGTGAATTACAAGACATAACTTTTACTAATCAAATATTATTTTAACATTGTTCAAATCAATACAAGAATACAGGGAATTAGGTCAAGTCCATGTATATCATCGAGACATATATATAAAGGAGACTTGAATATTAAATTTAATAAATTTAATTGTATTCAATGGTGAATTAATAATCCTCACATTAATGTTATTTATTATGTTTGAAAAACACTTTCTTTTATATTTATTTTTTGTATAGGAAAAATTCACTTATTTTATAAAAACTAAAAATATATTTAAAACTTAATTATATGATTATTGACGCACATAATTTCGCGAACAGTAGAAGTGCTATCAAGGTCAAATGTCATCTAAATAATTTGCACAAAATTATATAGTTCAAACCCATTTTTTTTATTTTTTTTTACTTTTATAAAATTCAAACGATCTATTTATTATAAAAGTAATTATTAATATTTAATAAATTAAATTACATCAATTAAACACGAATATTTTTTCATATAAAATTTTAAATATCATAAAAAAATGCATATAATAGTGAAATGATGGTTATTTTAATTATTTTTAACATAAATATATTTAAATTTAAATCTATAATTAATTTATCTATATTTATATATTATTAAATGTAGAATAATCTTCTAAAAAAAAATTCTCGATGAAAACAACATAGTTTAGACCCATATATTTTGCTAATTTTTTTACCCTTTTAAAGTTTAAATGTTTTCTATTAATTTTAAAATAAATTTATTACTATTTAATAAATTGAATTACATCAAATAAACACGGATAATTTTTTTATAGAAAATTTGAAATATCATTAAAAAAAGTATATAATAGTAAAATAATAGTTATTTTAATTTTTCTAATATAAATGTATATTAAAATTCAATTTTACACCTTAGATAACAAGTGTTTAATAATTCAAAGTAAATAATGTATCCCAGCAAGACAGAACGGAACATATAAAATCTTGTATGAACTAACAACAACTATTTTATAAGGTTAAATGTTCTTTGTTGAATTATATAATGCGTTTTTTTTATCCAGTAATATCTGTTTCATTTGTTTAAAAAATATAGAATGGAATAATATTTTACATTTAATTTTAAAAATAATTAAATAACATAAATTAAGAAAAAAATTAGAAAGACAAAAATTCAATTTTTTTACTTAATAAATTATAGGACAACATTTTGTTCTATGTAAAAAAAATACTCAAAAGACAATTATTCATACTTATTTCTCATTTAAAAAGTATATTAATTTCTTTTTCCTTTTATTTTACTGTCGAAAAAATTTGTTTACAGCTAAAGTTACACATATCTATATAAAAAATATAAAAAAAAACTTATAAATAAGGGTGCCACTAAGGTAGGTGGGCCTAGGATCAGTTTCTTTTCCGTCATTGTCTCATTCCCAGCAGCCAACACAGAATTTATTTTTAGTGCCCCAAAAAAAATGAGCATTATAATGAATGTCTATGAGTCAATAATTGAAATATATACATATAAATAAGAAACTATCATCATATATCACTTAATATAATGACAGATATTATTAATAAAAGATTAAGGCATAAAATATATATATTTTTTTATTTTAGTAGCTAGTAGATTTTTGAAACATAAAAAACTCAAAATTCTGCACTCTGTATCTAAGTAAAATATGACCATACGTTTTTTGTGTTTTCTGAGATACTTAGATGGTGGGAAAGTTGAAAGCAAAAGTGTGGTATTGTTGAAACTCATTGTGGACCATACATAAACCACAAATGAATGAGTTGGCACCATAGTAGATGCATCATGCATATGTTAATTAAAGTATGCATTATCAAGAGTCAACAAAACGAAATGAAGCTCTGTGGTGTTTCTCTTCCCTTGTTCTATCTCTATCGCCTAGATTCATTTCTAATCCATACGACAACTACATCATATTTAAGGTTATTAATAATTATAAATCATGTGGGGTATTTTCTTATATACATCAAAAAATTAAAAACAAAAGGAAGTGTATATATTTGACGAATACGTGTGAGATGAGTATTGTGATTTTTACCATTTTATTAAGAGGTTTCAAAAGTCCTCTATTCTACTTGGAGTAATCCCTCACGATTTTAGTGGAGGCAGATTTTGTCTTTGCTAGAGATTTCTGGTTGGGACAAAAAACCGTGACCAAATATTTTGTAGGTATTTAACTTTGGAATTATATAAAATGATAACATCACTCCCCAAAACAACCAACTCAAAAAATTACAAAGGAGAACAAGTGTCATACTACAAAACTCAATAACTAATAAATACGATCACCAAAATGTAGATTAACTCACTTAAAATCATTTTAATTTCTTTTAAGAAAAAAAAAGTATTGTGGACATTAATTCTTCAAGATTGAAGTATAAGAAAAATTATGTATCTTTATCTTTTAACAAAATAATTGTACTTGTTGTCTGTTGCAATGAAAATATGTAAATAAGTAAATAAATTAGTGTAAAGTATAAGAGATGGGGCAGCAAAATCCTGGCTTTGTGGTAAAGTGGTTTATTTTTCTATTGATTGAGTCCCCATAAAAGATTTTGTGTGTAATGAAGAATCGGTGAAACAAAGAATCTCTTCTTTTCATCCAAATGCAACATATCACATGGATAGTGCCCTCTTTAGTCCTTATCTCTATTGCTTCTTCAATTTCATTTATCAAATTTGTATTTTATTTGAATTGTGTCAAAACAACATTGTATTTATGAAGGTTTAATTAATTTTTTTTAATGAGGTTACTACTGAATTCTCTATAAAAGAATGATTTTAATATTGTAGGTGATGTATAATTGATGTGTATTTATGTGTTATTATTTAAAATTCATGTCAGTTTTAAGTTTTTATAATTGTTCACGTTTTTTTTTTGTTTTTTTCGTATCTTTCTCATTTCACTCCATTTCAATAATCTATACTTCAAGAATTTACCAGATTAAAAAGGTCTTTTCCATTCCGACCAAGAGCTGTTCAATAGCGATTCTACGGACAAACTAGTGAAGAAATATGCTACTAATACAGATGCATTCTTTAAAGTCTTTGCAAATGGCATGGTCAAAATAAGCAACATCTGTGAGACCCCTTCCTTCCTTCCTTTTCTACCCCCGACCCTCTTGCTTACTCACTCTCACTCTCTTCCCTTCGATCTTTCGTTTTGACCATTGAAGGTGGTGGTGTGGAGCGGATTCGGGATTTTGCTAGCTGAGTAGGAGTTTCCCTTCTTCTCCTTCGTCTTTCAAGCCGTTCTTCGTTTACCTCTCGTTGTTATTCTTCCCGAAGCTCGATTTCCTTGATTTGAGGTAAGGGAAGCTGGTTCTTGTGGATTTTGGTTGCAAACGAGTTCTAGAAACTCAATTTCTGATTTCTGGTTGTTAATTCTTGGTGGTGATTTGCTAAAATGGGTTTTGGGAGTTGGAGTTTCATTTCAAAAAATTTGGGTTTTCTTGATTCTATGGTTGCATGTTGGAAATGAGAGGTTTTTCGTGATGCTCGATGGAAATGCATTGTTTTAGGCCAATTGCATGTGGGATTTCCTGGTTGTTTTGTAGGTTCCGATGAGATTTTTGAAAGTTTGAGAGTAGCTGTTGGGTATCACGCTGGGCGTAGTTCTTCGCGCCGGGCGCGTGACCATCAGAGTCTCTGGATGGCCCTCGCTGGGCGTGGTGGAACCGCGCTGGGCGCGATATCAGTGTATGACTCAAGTTTTGAGTTTTGGTGTGGCGTCGGGCTTGGCCTTGTCTCGCCAGGCGTGGAGATTCCATGGGAGTCTCTGCCAGGGGTGGCGCTGGGCGCAATTTATATTGCGCCGAGCGTGAGACTTGGTGAAAGTCTCTACCTATCCGGCGCTGGGCGCGGGTTCGTACGCCGGGCATATGAAATCCTGTGAGGCCTCTGCCTTCCCTTATGCCGGGCGCAATAAGTATTGCGCCGAGCGTATTGGTTCCTGGTGCTCTCTAGTTGTAAAACGCTGGGCGCAACCACGAGTGCGCCGGGCGCGGAGATGAAAATTTCTTATATACTGAGTTGAATTGGAATAGACGAATATGGTGTGATGATGAGTAAATAATATTGCTGATTGATGTGAGTTGCATTAGTTGTATTTTGATTGAAAAATGATATGGTGAGTTGTATTAGTTGTGCATTGTTGCAAATCGATATGTTGAGTTATACCGTTGTGATGATACGTGTGCTGAAGTGTGTAGGCCGAAAGGTTGAAGTGTGTAGGCCGAAAGGCTGAAGTGTGTAGGCCAAAAGGCTGAGGTGCGGTAGGAGATCTCCGAGGTGATATGCGTGACGACGCATTGTGTGTGCATTGATAAACCGTGTGGTAATGACTGACAGGATTTTATTGATGAATTGTTGATGGTTGTAATTGCTGTTATTACTTAAAAATTTCCCTATATCTTGTTCTTTTTATACTAGCTTACCCTTGTTGTTTCCATGTGTTTGGACTGCGATGATCATACTTGTATGGGAGCAGAGCAGGGCTAGATTTGTGATAGGAGCAAGCTTATAGCTGGCAGAGGACGGGGAGTCTTAACTGGCTGATGTTTTGGACGTTAAGCCACTATCTGGCTATTTTGGATTGTATTTTATTTTACGCCCTAACTCTAGTCGGATTGGAACATTTGTATATATTTATATTCTAGATCCTATATTTATATACTCGTTCTATTTTGTCTAGTGTTTCCGGTGTGCTGCGGTTATGAGTGTGGTGACTTGCCGGGTCGTTACAACATCAAGACTCTCACAGGAAGCCAGCAGATGAGAATTTATTGCAGAAAATTCAATTAAAAATGATGCATCAAAAATAAAAAAAAAACAAATTGCAATTAAGTAAAAAAAACAGAAAAACCTGCAAGATTAGTCAACCAAAAATAGATAAGAGAAGGGGATTTAGGTAATGGGAAAAAAATTGGCTGCTTACATGAATGTCGTAAGTTTATTAACCCTAATACCCCATTTTTAAAAGTGAAGATGAGAGAGATACCGAGAAAAAGAATGAAAAACTGAAATTCGGTTATAAAAATTGAAAAATTAACATGAATTTTAAATAGTGACATATAGATACACATAAGCTATACATCAACTATAGTACCAAAATCCCTCAATAATTGAATGTACCATAGAAATTCTCTTTTTTAATTTCTCAAGAGTCTGATGTCCCTTCTTTAACTTTTTTCTAAAGAGTAAAAATAGTCTATATAATAAATTTGTTATTTTTTAATATAAATACTTTAAAAAATACGTTTGTAATAATTATTTTATATTTTTTATACATGTATAAAAATTAAATTAATATTTTTATTGATTGTGATTTTTTTCGTATTTTTTAAATTGACAATGAAAAAAAAATTATCTTGTCAGGTTCATATTAACGTGGCACTGTCTTCAAATCATTGACGCGTCACATAAGGCAACGCGTTCTTAAAATGTATGCATAATAAATTTAATGACGTAATACTTTTTTTATTTACCAAATAAGTATAGAAAATATATATCACATCAACTTGAATTTAATAGAAGGCTAAAATTATTATGTCTTATAAGTTATAACTAGAAATTTGACATAATTTTGACGTATTTTATTTTTCTTTTCTTTTGGGTTTTACTTTTACAGCTCCAAGTTAACTCACGTGAAAAAAAAAAAAAAAAGAACAGTGTGGTAGACAAAGTACTGACATGTACGGTAAGCAAGTGTATTACCACATCATTATTTCTTTTTTGTCTCTCTATTTGTCTCATCCAAACCAAGTTGTAGTTAATGACTCACACGTATCTCCCAAACTTAAAGATATTTTATTTTCACTGCAAAACGCACTTGCCTTATCATCTTAGAGAGAAAATGTAGGAAAAATAACAATTTTATTTTGTTTAATCGAGAATATAAAGAAAATAAGAGGAAAACCCAAAATGAGAGACAAAACTTTTCTTTTAAATTTTTATCTCTCTTTCAATATTAGAATAATTTAAAATGAAAGAGAAAGTCATTATGATTTTTAGATCCTGCTAATTAAATTGTCTTAAAATAGTATTTAAATTTATATCAACAATTTCATATTTTAAAAGAACATAAATTTCTACTAATATGAAGAACATAAAAGAACATAAATTTATATCAACAATTTATATCGATAAATAATTTGTAATTATTTTTATAAACATTTATATAGTCATGAGAGATCTATTGTGATCTTGATGAACTCGTGAGATGCATTTCACTTAAACTTTTAAGAAGAAAAAAAAAGAAATAATATATTATCTATATTTTGCATCTCATCCTCCATATATCGGGATCATTGTTTTTTTCCTCCTCTCTTTTCTTCTTTAAACCGAACTCTGTGTAAAGGAAAATGGTCTACGTAAGCCTTTTATTTAAACAAACTAATATTTTCAACATGTTTGGATAGACTTGTCGGAACATGTAGAATCACGTTTAAATTTTGTAAACATGGTTTACGATCTGTGCTAACATGTTTAATAATTTAATGGAAAATTTGATTTTATAACATTTAAGTTGTTCAACTACAAAAATTCAAAAACAATATTTTGTAACCTATGCCATAAAGGAGAGTTCAGTTAATATGTATTGATAAAAACATCCTCGTAGTTTAATATTGTGTTATTATCCCAACAGTATTTACACATTAATAATTACATGTCTAAGTGATTCCATCAGCATTTTTCGTTATTTTATGATTAGTTTTCACATTTATCAATTTTATCTAATATACTCTATGCCTAAAATTAAATTTATTCAAACATTTAATAATAAGTTCGTGCACGGTGCTCCTTGGGTTTGTGATTTACGTAAGAGCCCAAATCATTCATTGGCCAACCCAAAATAACATCATTTTTGCTTTTATTTTAAAATAATTATAATATTTATTTTAAAAAATTATTTATTGAAAATAAATAAATCATATACAATTTCACAAACCAAACATTTGATACACAAATTTCAGAATCTAATCCATATAACGTGCGAGACCAAGACTGCACTTGATCCAAGTCCGTGTGGACAGTAAATAATGCAACCCGTAAGCCCAACTCTAGAAATAATGAATCTTGAACCAAGCATAATTTATTATATTATAGGCTTAATTATATTTTCAACCCTCCAAATTTGAACTATATATTTTTAATTTTTTAAATTTAAAACTTATATTTTTAATCTCTAAAATATTATAAATTATTATTTTGATTCCTCAAATTTTAAAATTACTTTTTTAATTTCTATAATTTCAAAAAATATTATTTTAATCTTTAATAACATAACTCATAATGATTAATTGAAATGGACTAAAATAATAAATTTTTATATTTAAAAATTTAAAAATACAAAATTTAAATTTGAAGGACTAAAATAATCTATTTTTTTTTTAATTTTAGGATCTAAATATTTTAAATTCGAGGAAAAAAATATATACTTCAAATTTAAGGGATTAAAAACATTCAAACCATTATTATACATGTTTTTAATAACAAAAAAACAATACATAAAATTCTTATATATGAATTCAATCAGTCAAATTAGTTCTTATATGTTTCAACAATCAAAATAATCTATGAAGTTTCTAAATTTCAATAAAACCAAAAAAAAATATACACATACTTTTTATTGTTCACGAGTTAGCCAATGTTTATATCTTTTACGGACCAATTTGATTATTATATGCTCGAGGGGAAATATATATCGCACTTCATATTGCATTAAAATGTTCCACATCAGTAATAAGTTATGCCAGATACATGTAACAGAATTCAATGATGATATATGATGCAGCAGAGTGATAACTGATAACGAATCAAAATTAAACTCTTGTTCTAATAATGCCATCAAGGTTACAAGAGGACAGAATAAATTGAATTGGCTATGATTCATACCAACTCGCTAACTTTCTTCATTTTCCACTTTAATTTTGTGTTTCACAAAAATGCAACAAGTGCATAAATTCAAAATAAAAAATACATCACCTAACTAAATTCCACCCTCCCAAACAGCAACAAAAACTCAAAGAATCAATGATCTAAGAAGTGCTTTATTACTCTACCTAGAAATTTGATGCTTTATTGCTTTACATGATTTCATGTATGCCTTCCACCAGAGAAGTAACCAAGCTGTGCTGATAATGTGATGAAGATAGAAACTGCATTCCAACAAGAAACCACAAAACAGCATGCATGCATAATAGCCAACAATCTGAGGCTGGTCACAAAATGTGAGGATCAATGGTCTATGTCTGTCCCAAGGTCACCCCACCTTACGTTGTATCTAGCTGCAAGATAGTGAGCACCAACAGGACCCCTACTACCATAAGGATAGTACTCTGGAATTATCTTCTTCTCTTCTAGCTCCTTCAGTACAGGTGTAAAGAGTGACCAAGCAGCATCAAGTTCATCACTACGTATAAAGAGTCTTCTTTCTCCTTCAATGGCATCCAGAAGTAGCCTCTCATAAGCATCTGGAATCTCATTTGAATATCTGAAATATAAACAGAAAATATGTCATCTATAAATGGCATTTTACTATTTGCCAAACTGCCCAATTTCATCTATGGAGTGACAAACATGCCACAAAGATTATATCGACCTGAAGAGTGAGACACTCTCTAACACTCTTTATTATGTGTTGAAATTTATTTGAAGTCACAAACTGTGGGTCTGGCATCTCATTTAATGAATCTCTCCTGATTTAGTGATAAGACTCACCAAAATTTGTAATTTCCAACTAATAATAAGGAGAATATTAAGAAAAGCATATTAGAATGCATGTCACTGGCATTTCTCTATGGACATTAAATCAATGTCACATATTTTACCACGAGTTTAAGAAGGTAAGAATGAGGTGAATTTGTAAGTTAATAATCTAATGAGTGTATTTCAGGGGTTCCAAAATTTGATTTTAAGAGTAAAAAGAAAATACCTTGCAGCGTAGTGAAGATTCAGGTTACTGCGGTCCAACTTCATTCCCAGACCTGGGACTTTGTTGTTTATCTTCAAATAAATAGCCTCATCAGGCTGAACTCTTATAACAAGTTCATTTGTGGCCCGATCAAGATCGGCACCGAAATTCCGATTGTACAGATTACCTGGCACATGCCTGAACTGTACCCGTATCTCAGCTCTGAACCCAAAACAACATAGCAGTTAAATGTATTTAAAAGTGGGTGTGAAGCTCTAGAAGTATAAATAGAAAGTGGCATTAAACCAACACAAGATGTATCTGCAAAGTGTATTTTCCCCACTTACCTTTTGTTGTGTAATGCTTTCCCAGCCTTCATCAGAAAAGGTACCCCATCCCATCTTGCATTATCTATGAAGAGGGCAGCCGCAGCAAATGTTGGAGTTAAGCTGCCATCTGGTACAGTTTTGTCATCAACGTAGGCTGGATATGTAACACCTCCTCTTGTGTGGCTCTTGTACTGGCCTACAACCACATCCTCAAGTTGCAGAGGTCTCATTGAACGAAGAACCTTGACCTGACATCCAGTAGGTAATTGAAATTCTGGTGAAAAAAAAATTCATGATTATTTAAAAAAACTGAATTCAAGGCATTAACTATGTGAGACCTTTTCATTTCTAATATCCTCTGCATCCAAACTAACAGGGGTTTCCATTGCAAAGAGAGCTAGTATTTGAAGTAAATGATTCTGCATAATGTCTCTTATGATGCCATAATGGTCAAAGTACCTACACATGGTAAAGATATGAAAATGGGTATAAATCCCCATTATAAGAACAGAAAGTG